GTCCACTTCATAATGGCATTTTGGTATTTGTTCTTTTTTTCCTGATTGCACGAGTGTCAGTAATGACTTGGTCTATGTTAACGCATTTGTAATCTGCCTTTTTTAGCTTTTACTCGTTCCGCGTTTGTTGCGAGAAAACCTAATTACGCCCAACCAAACTGGCTGGGAGTCGGCTTGGCGTTTGGCACCTCTGCTGCCTTGTGGGCTTTTGTAAGTGTTTTCACTCGGTTTTGCTGAACTTAACTATTGCCAAAAAATTTACAGCAGTGATATAAACCCAATGACTGCAACCTACTGAGTCGTTTGGGGTAATGGGTGGTCACAGCGGGTGTCAAGATTGAAGCATAATTATGTTGATCCCTTGTTTTCCCAGCTTCATGTTGTGCTTTTCTTTATAAAAATAAACAACTTATTAAGCTTTTCTCTATTTCAAACTTAAAACAACCACAACAGAAGAATTAATTCTTCAAGCCTGCCGGCTTAATGCTTTAACATTATTTTCCCCGTAGATCTTAAAAAAACCCCCAACAACAATAACCCCCAAACCAACAATAAAAAAACAAAACCGCAAACAAACAAACAAAAAACCACTACGGTTGTGCCCAGATAGTCTTGTGTTTATCAGACTACTAATGCATTCTCTTCTCATTTTTCTGCTGATTAAGGTGGTCGTTAGCTGATTTCAGTAGATTAAGACCTCTTTTTTCCTGAGCAAAATGCAGGTGTACAATACTCCCTATTTTAGAGAACTCAACAGGCTTGATGTTGTTAAATTGACACAGTGCAGTAGCTCTCAGGAAGAAATGTGCAGGATGAGCAGCACTCCCATAATGAAAGTGGTGTCAGGGTGGGGTGGATTCTCTCTGGGGTTTTCACCTTTTTTGGGGGTGGTGAATTGATTGATAGTATGAGCCCCCGCCTCCAGTTGGTCAGTTTATCCAATGAGGCATTTTTTCCACCGGTTTTTCAATTGAAAATTTACAGATGATGTATTCTGTATTGTCCCAGTTACATATTGGTTTGCGTTCCGATAATAGGAATTTTAGATTCTGTAGAAGTCTTGTTGTTCTCTGGATCCAGTTGTGAAATTGTATGGCTGTTTATCCTATACTGCTATTTTATAGCTCATCAAGCAGCATAATGAAGATGTAATGGAATATGAGAGAAGACAAAAAGAGGGACACCATAAGTGTACAGAATGCTCATAGTAAGTGTGCACATACAGATGCTTTTGACTGAACAGAAATTCTGAAGATCTTTGACATCTGGTAGCAGTCAAGATATCAGAGTGACATTCTTCCCTTATTATTTTCCTTAATACTTTACATCTTGGCTTTTGCTATTCTTCTAACTCGTTCCAGCTTTAAAATGATAAGGTGACTGATCTGTATTTTCAGATATTCACTGTTGGCTCTCTGTCTTGGACATGTGACACATCTCTTACAGCATCTATAATGAATAAAGTTTGTAAATTGAACACCTTTCAAATGGCTCAGTGGCAAGGAGATCAGAGTAGCTGAAATACATAAAAATGATGTAATGTCAATGCCCTTAGATGTGCATTACAGGGCAGGTTGTATGTGGTGTTGTGCTTTTCAATGTAAAAACCTGTGTGTCTGTCTGCCAGCTAAGTCTTTTTGGGATTATGGCCTCAGAGCAATTAATATTCCACATGGAAAAAATTCCTTATACTAGATAGAGGAAAAACTTGTGGTGCTGTGGTTATTTTTCCCTGTAAACATTTCTCTCCAGATAAAAATACAGGATGTTATGTTTCTAACCATATTCATCACATTTATTTTTCTTGTTGCTAAGATTTTTTTTTTCCTCTTCCTTAGGTTAATGATGTGCTCAGTAAGAAGTAACATGATCACCGGTTGTCCTACAAATAAGTGAGCACAGCAGGAGTACAGTTATGTAATTACTTGTATGTTCATACATTTCATGTGCATAAATATGAAATAAATTATAAAGCCTAGAAAAAACTTCCAAGTACTTTTGTTGCCATTAATATTTCATTCTACTGGTCTTGAAGTTGTTTTATGTTGGATTTCCATTTCATAGATAATCGATCTTATTTTTAAAATCCTCTGTGTTATTCTGGAAGATATATTAAGGAAGCCTGTCTGTACAAATGCCAGAAGGTGCATTTTCCTGTGTGCATTTTGGGAATTGCTTATGCTAGAGAGGTGCCTACAGTGCTCACACAGTGAGACTGCACAGGCGCTGTCAGTCTCCAGCGTGAGCACTGCCTTCTCTTCGTGCATCAAGGTCAGTCAAGGACAAAGGCTGCAAAAATGGGACCGCGGCAGTCGGCACAATAGGGCATTAAATAATCACAGAGGGAACAACACAGCTCTGTGTAGATGAGAAACAGGGGGCAACTGCCTGACAATGTAGGGAGGAGAGGAGCAGCTGCACAGCTCTGCCCCCGAGACGCCCATGACTGTGACAGTCACCATGATCCCACAGCAGCGCTTCCTTTCCGGTGTTCTGCTGCCAACACTGAACGCCTGTGTCCCGGTGTTTAACCTGAGTGCCCTTTGCCGTCAATTTAGGTGATTTCTCCATTTTATTTTTTCCCCCCTTCCAGGAACTGTTGGCAAATGAATGTTCTTGGTGAACGCCCTATTTTAGTAGAACAGTAGTTCGTTCCTCACCGTCCTCCCCCTCCTTGCTAAATGCAATCCCTCACATTCTGGGTCTGTTTCAGCACCGTGTACGGCGGCGTTCGGCACAGGGCTGTCTGCCCTTGCGTTCCGGGCAGGCGCTTCCCGCTGCTGCCGGAGCGGCTCCCGCCGCGTCCCGGTCACCCCCGGCGTCCTCCGGGAGCGGTGTCCAGGTGTTGGCGCGGGGCGGGGCCCGGCCCGTTCCGCCCCCGCGGCTCGGCGGGGCGGGGATCGCTGTCTGTCTCCGCAGCCCCGCGCCGACGGGCACAGTCGAGCGCCCGCTCCGCTCCCCGCCGCCGCCGCCACCATGTCCCTGTGCAGGGCCGCCTCGCAGGCGCTGGCGTTCCGCCTGAGCAGGGCTCCCGCCGCCGCCGGCCGCCTCAAGCAGCGCGGTACGAGCCCGGGTGGAGGTCACCGGGACGGCGTGAGGGGGCGCGGGGCGGGGCGG